TAATAATTAACTAAGAGAGAGAGGAGAGAGAGAGAGAGAGAGAGAGAATTGATGGAATTAAATTGCTTGCGAAAGCGAATTAAATAAACCCATTGACAGTAACACTAATAATAATAGCATGTTGTCATCTCTTTTCGCACTATTTTGTAATTTTTTTTTTTTCATTTGACATTAAAAAAGAAACTCACTTGTTTTCTTTCTTTCTTTCTTTTTTTTTCTAGAATAAATGAGCATGACGAAATGTATTACTTCACATGAAAATGCATGCAACTTGCAATTACTTGCTTGCATGCAACTTACAAATATAAAATATTGCATCGTTTTCATTCGTCTTCATTATTAGCATTGATAGTTAAGTAATATAACCTACTTATATAGGAAAGGTGGACAAATGACACGAGCAATATTGTTAACGAAACAAAAGTATAATCAAATATGATGGCAGTAATTGTGGTGACAAAAATGAAATTGAAAAAAAAATAGAGAAAAAACGAAAGAAATTTCTTTGTCGCAGTTTTTTTTTTTTTTTTGTTTTTTTGATAGTATAATATTCATATCTAAGTTAATTAATTTGTCAAATACAAATGAAAATTTTTAAAATTTAAATTAGCCATAATTGATCTTTCAAATCTAAATTTTAATTGGTTTATGTGAAAATTGAATAAATTTACATTCTGATTAACAATTAGCATTTATACACTTAAAAAGTATGCAAAAAATTCGGATGTTTACAAATATCAATATTAATTAATTAATTAATTATTTGTAATAATCATCCAGTTTTTTCATATACATATATATGTATATGTAAAAGCTGTAATTTTTCCGAATTTAATTATAGATAATTAATTGTACTTCAAAGGTTACAATGGTCAATGGTTGCTTTATTATTTTCATTTTTGTTAAGATATGAATAAATGAAATAAGGCGGAAGTGCTACTTAATATAGCAATTTGACACCATCTCTTGAATTGTTCCTCCTGCTTAAATGTAACCACTTACTTTCATAAGTAAACATATATATACTTCATGTTCCACACACACACACACACACACACACACACACATACATACACACATACATACACATGCACACACAGACAGACACACGCATATATTTGTAAATGTATTGGTTTTCATCACTTAACCTTATTATCTTTGATGTAAAAAAGTCTTACCGCCTTGTCTGCTCTTAATTCTTATTTATATATAATTAGGATAATTTGCGCCCTATTACAAAGCGGCTTTTTCTTCCTAATTGAAATGGAATAAAATTACTGCTTTATAGAATATTATTAATGAATATTTTTAATAGACTAAATGATTTTGTCTTTTTATGGAAATTTTTAATTAATAACTTATTATTCGAATTAATTTCAATTTCTTTCCTTTTTTTCAATAACTGACAAGTTAACATTCCATTTAGTGAAATTTTATAATTAATAAGTTAAAATTCAAATCAATTTCAATTTTTTTTTTGTCAAAAGCAAAATGATTCAATGTGTTACAAAAATAATTTCATTCATAATTAAAGGTAAAATTGATGATAACAATAAATGCTGTAATCTTTCATGCTAATGAAGGATGATATTTGTTGAGAAACCTTGACCTAAAAATGTTATTCGAGTCAGTGCACATGCTAATGATAGTTTAATACTAATTAGCATCATTACTATTGTTGCTATGTGTTGTTATTGTTATTACTATTATCATTATTATTATTATTGTTATTATTATTATTATTATTATTATTATTATTTTATTATTATTATTATTATTATTATTATTATTATTATTATTATTCTATTATTATTATTATTATTATTATTATTATTATTATTATTA